CCCCCCCCCCCCGCCCAGTGCACTAATTTTCGTGCACCGGGCCTCTAGTTGACATAACAGTACATTGATTTCAAGTGTACAACATGATTCAATGTTTGTATATACTGCAACGTGATCACCACGCTCTTCTCATGGACACTGTGCAGGGGCTGAGCTGTGATTCTGACTCTCTCTCATCATTGATGTTTCCCTCTCCCCTCCTGTCTGAAATCTATAAAAATATATTTTTAAAAAAGATTTGAATCTCTGGACGAATAACATGAGAATTCTTGCTGTGTTTACAGGTGATAAACACAGGGTTCTTTATCTTCGGAACACTGATAGCCATTGGCAGTACCTACTTCCTTATACGCTCCATGGCCTCAAGGCACCTGGACTACTTGAGAAGACCATGGGACTGGGTCACTAACCTCCAGAACACAGGACAGGTTTCCCTGAAAACTCCCTGGAGCTACTAGAACAAATCTCCACTGTCATCAGCAGGTGACAGAAAGGTCCTGAAGTAGCAAATACACTTGATTTCTCTGTAACCAAATCTCATGATCAAAGCCATGGCTCCCATCATCATATTTAAGTCACTCATGGAAGATGTTTGTCGGCTTAGAATTAAATCCAATGTGGGATTTCCGTGTGTTCACTGAGAATGTTTTAAGGCCACCACTTCAAGTTGCCATGAGTAGCTTCCCACAACACTATGCTCACGTCATGTCCTTCTAAATATAAAAGTGAACTGATACCTCTTTCACGTCTCCAAGGGGAAGGCTGTGGGGTGTCTAGGAAGACACTGCACACTCTTTCAACCTCTTTCTTTAAAGGGCAGAATAGAGGATTTACTCAACACCTGGGACTAAAGATCACCATTTGCCTAACATGTTAAGGGCACTTTTCATCGCTTAGATGCAACTGACCTAAGCACAGGGCTCAGACGTACTTGAAACTAGAACTGTAAATGAGGAATTTAGGGGCTTGCTAGTGGATTTGTGGCCTCATCACAATGAATTGGTCAGTATTACCTTCTGAAGACCAACAAATTCTACGGATGCCATGCAGAGTGAAGGATGGGAAGGGTTGTGTTTATAAACTAAATATCTGCATGTACAAGAGGACAGAAAGGAAACCAAGGGAGATGGTATTCGTATAAACATGAAGCCATATTTTATTCCATTTCAGACTTTTAGAAGCAATGTACTAACTTATTTTTGAACTGCATGCTGCGGCAGAACCAGAACAAACTGACTTTAAAAAATTTTTTTTAAGTTTATCCAAAACAAATTTAAATTTATGTATTTCAGAGAGGAAGGAAGAGGGAGAGAGAGAGAGAGAAACAGTGGTGATGGGAGAGAATTATTGACTAGCTGCCTCCTGCACGCCTCCTACTGGGGATCGAGCCCGCAACCCGGGAGGCTAAGCTCTGACCCAGGACCTGCCTCTGAGCCCAGCCCTTAATCTCTAGGAGCCACAGTCCCTTCATCTTTAATATAGTCCATTGACCTATGTAGTCTTGTAGAACCTTTAATGGTGTTTAATGTTTTCTAATTTACTTAAAGAAGTATAAAACGGATTATTTTACCTAGATCATCAAATCGCTAAAAGACAGCCTGAGAGAATCATGATAAATTGGGACCATTTCTCCAAGATTCTGGAAACTCTTTTATGCAAATTATAACCCTCGGATTCTCAGAGCAGGCAGTAAACATGTGATGTGCAGAGTTCTGCACAGCTAAGCCCACAGCTGCTCTTGAATGAGAACTGATTTCCCAAGGGAACTCTTGCTGGAAACTGCTGTGACTTCCAATTCACAGCTAATGACTGTGAAGTGGGGTTTGATGAGGAATCTGTGATTGGTTTCATTAGGGGCTTGGTTGCCGGTAAGATCACTTGGTGAAATCTAAGTGGTCCCAGTCCGTTAAAACCAGCGTATCTCACCTGGCCGGCATGGGTCAGTGGTTAATCGTCGACCTATAAACCAGGAGGTCACAGTTCAATTCCAGGGCAGGGCACATGCCTGGGTTGCAGGCTTGATGACCAGTGTGGGGCGTGCAGGAGACAGCTGATCAGTGATTCTCTCTCATCACTGGTGTTTCTCTCTCTCCCCCTCTCCCTTCCTCTCTGAAATCAATAAAAATATATTTAAAAAATATATTTTAAAAACAAAAATAAATAAAATCAGCATATCTGGTCCTAGTTTGTTCCCAGTGGAGGTATTAAGGAGTAAGGGCTTACATTTTAAAGTTCTTTGACAAAGTTCCTCAGATAAAATGCTCTTTAGAAGTTCCTCCTATTATTATTATACATGTTTTATTAAGGTGAGGAAAAATATTCCCAGACATCAAAAATATGCTCTTAAATAAACTGGTTATTTCTGACTATACTAAGCTCATTATGCTACAAAAATACAAATGCTGATTTTAAATACTGATTTCAAATACTGATTTTAAAAAAGGTACCTGGCATACTGTTGATACATAGTATGTAAGTTTAAACTGGAAAAATGTATTGCAGTTCAACAAACTCTAAGGGTTCCTTTTAGTTCTAGCATTATTATGAAAATTAAGGAAAAATTTCCAAATAAATTAGAGCATGTGCTTATAGTATTTAAAAATATACTTGAACTAACATATCTAAATTATTGATACTATCTAAAGTTATATTTAAGAAACAAGATGCTTATTAAAATTATGTATTCATATGGACAGAGAATAGACCTCTCTGAATAATTAAAACATTTAATTTTTATTTATTTATTTATTTTTTTTAGAGTAGAGGGACCAGACACGTAGATACAAAAGATAATTTCTCTTGGGGTTTTTTCTTCTCCCTTTAGTTTGTGGAATCTAAAAATCTTCTAATCACATAAACAATCATCACCTAAACACTCAAACTTGGCACGTTTTCTGACATGTAATTTTCCCGAATATTACACAGATCACGACTCCAACAAGGATACCAACCAAGGGTCTATTGCAGCGGTTCTCAACCTGAGGGTCGCGACCCCTTTGGTGGCGGTCGAACGACCCTTTCACAGGGGTCGCCTAAGACCATCCTGCATATCAGATATTTACATGACGATTCATAGCAGTAGCAACATGACAGTGATGAAGTAGCAACAAAAATAATTGTATGGTTGGGTCACAACATGAGGAACTGTATTTAAAGGGCCAGAAGGTTGAGAACCACTGGTCTATTGCCTATGAACCAGAACCTCTCACGACCCAGATAACTCCTCTTAGCCTAGGATTAGGAGGTCTGCATGCTCAGATTGGATCTCTGAGGTTTGCAAATACCGTTTGCCTAAGCGCATGACAATCTCTAGCACCCCCCAGAGACTTTGAACTTGAACGCACAGAAAACCCAAGCTGCCAGACAGGGACACTTCCCACAGTCACCACTTCCCCTTCCTTTGCCCTTGGTTTCTCAATCCAAACAGTCGCTGATCACCTAGTGGTCGGCAAACTGGGGGCTCGCCAGCCACATGCGGCTCTTTGGCCCCTTGAGTGTGGCTCTTCCTAAGCCTTAGGAGGACCCTAAATAAGTTAATAACAATGTACCTACCTATAGAGTTTCAGTTTAAAAAATTTGGCTCTCAAAAGAAATTTCAATCGTTGTCCTGTTGGTATTTGGCTCTGTTGACTCATGAGTTTGCCGACCACTGACCTGGTACTCGCAGGTACTGTTCAGCTGTGGGTGAGAAAATAAGACTGGGTCTCTGCCCTGAGGAATTAATTCGCTGTTTGGTGCGGGTGACACGCACACGGACTGCTTCCATGAGGGGACGGGAGGTGGGAGGGCTATGGGAATCCACAGGATGGGTGATCAGACCAGCAGGAGATCCTGAGTTTAGCCTTCTGAGGTGAGTCGCAGGAAAGACAGGAGAATGGTCCAGGGAAAAGAAGCGCATTCAGGCAAAGGACACGTGGTGGCAAGATCTAGGAACCAGAAACATTGCAGCTGGCTGAACCCTCAGGTGGCAAGAAAGTGGGCGTGTCAGGAGAGGATGCTGGCGAGGAGGACGGGGGATGGCCATGCGGGCCCTGGCAGTCACAGTCGGGGACCTTGTTTTCAATCATGCAGGCAATGGAACGGCTACAGGAGTTTAAGCGAGGCAGTGACATGAGAGTGTTTATATTTGAGGACAATTACTCTGGTGGCAGCGTGAAGAAAATGGACCGGAGGAAAACAAGAATCAAGGAAGGAAAACGAAGGTCCTTAGGAATTGTGTCTGTGGCAGGAGGTGAGGGGGGAAACGATACATGGAAACATCTTTGAGGTTGAATAAAGATTGATAGTTGGATGTGTGTGTGTGGGGGGGGGGGGGGGTAGGCGGGAACAAGGATGAAGGACAGTCAGATTACTCTCCAATGGCTGGGGAGCTAGGAATGACCAATCACAGCAGGGCCTGGAGGCAGCCTCGGAGACACATCTGTTGCCTCAGGCAGCACGGGATGCCACAGGGAACCAGGCGGTGCCTCTAGACCAGTGGTTCTCAACCTTCCTAACGCCGCGACCCTTTAATACAGTTCCTCACGTTGTGGTGACCCCCAATTTCATTGTTACAAATTGAACATAACTAAAGCATAGTGATTAATCACAAAAACAATATGTAATTATAGATGTGTTTTCCGATGGTCTTAGGCGACCCCTGTGAAAGGGTTGTTCGACTCCCAAAGGGGTCGCGACCCCCAGGTTGAGAACCACTGCTCTAGAGCCAGGTGATTCAGACACCATAGGGGACCCACCACCCTGGTCACCCAGGAAGTGATGCCCACGACCACAGGCCCAGAGAATAGACTGACAGTTGACAGAGGTGAGGGAGGCTGGGGGGAGGAGGTTGGGGGAGGGGGGTGAAAAAGGGGAAGAATGAGAAGTACAAATTGGTAGCTGCAGACCAGTGACGGAGATGTAGATTAGAGCATGGGGAATGGAGTCAATGATATTGTGATAACTGTGTACGGGGCCAGGTGGGTACTTAAAGGAGGACATGACTGTCTAACCACTAAGCTGTATATCTGAAACGAACGGGGAATCATGTTGAGTGTGAACTGTAACTGAACATTTATTTTTTACAATTATTTAAAGAAAACGAAAACTTGTGTTCTATCGCCATCTGCTGGGAAGCAGAAGAAAAACATCTCATCAAACGGCTGAATTATTAAAACCGAAACAGGACCTAAGGAAGAAGAGTGCTCACTAGTTCAAAGGCGCCTGGGGAGGAAGAGCCCATCAAGCACTAGGAACAACCAAGGTAACATGGCAACACGGAAAGGAAGCGACGGTTCTCCAGAAACCAAGTTCAAAGTCCTGGAAGGCTGTGATCTAAAGGACAGAGTTCTAAAGCGCAGTCAGGAAGAAAATCAATGAGAGACAAGAAAACACAAAAAGGCAGTGCTGTCTGGTCTGCTTCCCACATCCCTGGGTTGGGTTTGGGCCAGACGGGGGATGGGAGCTGGTTCTGGAAGGTCTCAGAGGGCTAAGGGGTTCTGGCTGTGGCCTCGCGGAGCAGCACTTACCGTTACTAAACAAGGAGAGGGTGGCAGTGGAAGCTATAACCCT